GACTTGGAGTTTAGAGCCAGATGAGAAGACGATCGAAGATTGCGTATATTTCACGGATTTAGTACCATCGCTCTATGCTTCTTGCACTAAACATTTAAAACAATGGTAAATGGAAACGATTGTGCGATACTATCCTTATCGTAATCGCAAGTGGGCGTTTAAAATCTGAAATTTGTTTCCCTTCGAAGACTTTGCTCCGTGTTGCTTTTTGAATGGAAAAGTAGAAAGAGTTGTTGGCAATGATGACTTTTCTTGAAAGAAAATAATTTCAAAACACATTAATTTATTTAGAAAATAAAAAAGTGAGATTCTAAAACAATAAATAAAATGAAATAAAAATATGGGAAGAAACAGATCATGAGTAGAAAACATTTTTTAAAAAATGAAGAAGCGTGGAATAAAAAGCTAGTATACGATTGCTTGGTGTTTCTGGTGTTGTTCAAGTGTACCATGGTGGAAAGTGGGGAACAGTGTGTCATGATTCCTGGGGTTGGGAGGACGCCAAGGTTGCGTGTAGAGAACTTGGTTTTACCAAAGCTGTAGAATATTGGCACAATAGACATGGGGAGCAAGGACCAGTGTGGCTGGACGACATGGCRTGTACAGGCTCAGAGGCCTCACTTGGGGACTGCTCTCACCCTGGATGGGGAGTATCTGACTCTGCCTGCAAAACTCACAAATATGATGCTGTTGTTTTGTGTTCTAAGCATCGAAATTGCGCAGATATCCCAGTAAGTAAAGTACTTTACAATTGTAAATTAACAGCTGTAAATTTGTAAATTTAAAAATACGAACTTGATCACGAAACTAGCCTCTTTTGCAGACGTTTTTTGTGTCGGTCTCTTATTCCTCAAGAAGTAATTCTTTTTTCCTGGAATCGGATTTGGAAGCAAATAATTTGCATATACCAAGGTCTGATTCATTAAATTTTCGTTTTGACGCTTTTCGATTAAATACCATCGTTCACGTGAAACGTTCTCCATTGTCCCCGAAACATAAGAGGTGTTCGTCTCTATTGTTATGTTCCGCTAATCTTCAATCAGCTAAATCTAAAGGCAAGCCTGCAGTTTTATTGGACTATATTCTACGTTCTGATATTGATCTATTTGCGATGACGGAAACATGGCTACGTGACATGGATACTGCTGCAAAATTGGAGTTTATTCCCACCGAAACTCATAGGTTTCTTCAGCAGAACCGGTAATCTGGCCGGTCTGGTGGTGGAACTGCGCTGTTATTTAAGAAATGTATTAATGTGAAAAAAGCCGGTTGACTACGAATCATTTAGAGCGAGACTTGTCATTGTCTATCGTCCTCCATATTCTCAAGTCCATCCGGTGACTTCTAGTACATTCTTTGAGGAATTTAGTACGTACTTGGAATCAATCATCTTAACGCCGGAGTCACTTATACTAACTGGTGACTTCAACCTCCATGTGGACGTGGCTAGTGACTCGGATGCGAGAGTGTTCAATGATCTTGTTTCAATGGGACTTAAACAACACGTAACTGGTCCAACTCACATCAGTGGGCACACTCTCGATCTCCTGATTACGCGTGAGAATGATTCCGTTATTGCAAATATCCCTGTGGTTGATTGCTTTCTCTCGGATCATCCGGCGGTTCTCTGTTCGCTTAATACATCCAAGCCTGCGCACTCAGTCAAAGAGATCAGTTATCGTAAGTTCAAATCCATTAATATTGACTCGTTTCGTGAAGACCTTCAACGCTCAGAACTGTGCAAAGCAAATTATGAAGATCTTGATGAATTGACTTTTGTATATGATTCAATATTATCGTCTATTCTTGACAAACACGCGCCCTTAAGGAAGAAGTTGGTGGTGAGCAGACATCGGGTACCTTGGTTTAATAGTGATATCAAGACTGCTATAAGAGTTAGAAGAAAGGCTGAGAAGAAGTGGCGCTGTTCAAGATCACAGGATGACTTGTGTGCTTTCAAGTTGGCGCGCAACTCTGCCACCAACATGTTGCACCGAGCGCGATGCGCTTATTATACAGATCTTATAGCCGAGAACAGCTCTGATCAAGGAAGGTTGTTTTGTTTTTACAACTAAGTCATTGTTGTGCGAGACTCCTGATGTAGCATTCCCAGCGCATGTAACTCCTGTTGAACTTGCAAACAATTTTGGGAATTTCTTCATGCACAAGATTGAAAAGATCAGTGATGTCCTTGATGCTGTTGTTCCGGAGAAACTTGAAGCGGCTGATGAGTGTGATACTACGTGTGCTGAGGAGTGTGTGAGTGCTCCTTTGTTATCCTGCTTCAAACCTTTGACGCACAAGCAGGTTGCTGAGCTCATTAAAAGGATGACTAAGAAGTCATGCCCACTGGATTCTGTGCCCACAACTCTGGTTTTTCAGGTATTGGATGAATTGCTACCAGTAATTTCTACTATGATTAACATGTCCCTGGAGTCTGGTCGGTTTGCTACGGCTTGGAAAGAGGCACTGGTGCGACCACCTCTGAAGAAATGTGGACTTGATATTGAATACAAGAACTTTCGTCCTGTGAGCAATCTCCCGTACTTTTCGAAACTGTCTGAGGGAGCAGTAGCGGCGCAGCTAACGGATCACGTGTCCGCTAATAACTTACACATGCAGCTTCACTCTGCCTATATTCGACATCATAGTACGGAATCGGCTTTGTTGAAAGTCAAGAACGATTTATTTATGAATATGAATGCGCAACAAGTTACCTTACTGATCCTGCTTGACCTTAGTGCTGCTTTTGATACAGTTAATCATGAGATTTTGCTTGAGCGGTTGAGATCAAGGTTCGGAGTGGATGAAACAGCACTGGAATGGTTTAAGTCATATTTGTCTGGTCGCTTACAGCGTATCTCAGTGAATGGCGGAACCTCAGCTACGTTCCACCTCAACCAAGGAGTGCCTCAAGGGTCCTGTTTGGGTCCCCTGCTTTTTACAGTGTACATAAGTAAGTTGTTTGATATTGTGGGAAGACATCTCCCAAGTGTACACTGCTATGCAGATGACACGCAGTTGTATCTGGCGTTCAGCCCAAGTGAACCGGGCGACGAGATCATCGCTCTTCAATCTATGGATAATTGTATCAAGGACTTGCGTGACTGGATGATAAAGGACCGACTGATGCTTAATGACGACAAGACTGAGTTCTTATTAATTGGCACTAGGCAGTAACTACCGAAAGTTAGCATCAGTAGCATTACTGTAGGCTAGGTTATTAAGGCAAATTCAGAAGTGCGGAACCTTGGTTCCTGGTTCGATTCTCAGCTCAGTATGTCTGTTCATATTAGCAAGTTATGCGCTGCTGCATTTTATCACCTCCATAATATTAGTCGTATTCGCAGGTTTCTAAGTCTAKAAGCTACGGAGGCACTTGTTCATGCATTAATTACTTCGCGTGTTGACTATTGTAATAGTCTACTTTACGGGCATCCTGCCTCTCAGCTGAATAAAATACAGCGCGTCTTAAACGCTGCGGCAAGACTAGTTTACAGGGCACCACGTTATTGCCATATTACGCCATTAATACGCAATCTTCATTGGTTACCTATAAAGCAGCGTATTTATTTTTAAGATTTTATCGTTTACATTCAAAGCAATTCATGGCATCGCTCCTTCTTATATCCAGAAGCTAGTCTCTCTTAAGTCACGTAGTGCCTATACAAGTCGGGCTAGAAGGGCTAAAAAATGTTTCATTTAGGCAAAGCGTTTTTGTGTTCCATTAAAATTTCTTGAAACTTGGTAAAATTAAAGAGTCTAACAAATCTCACAACTCTGTCCTTTTACTTTTTTAAATTTCCACATTTTTGGTGGGAAAATGACGTCATCAATTTTAACGGAAAATCGAAATACTCCTCAATGGAAAATTCTAACTAGCGCATTTGAAAGAACTGCACAAGAGGAGTTCAAATATGCAAAACCTGTTCATTTCTGATATGGGAACCAAAATATATGATTTTTTGAATGTTCATGAAGTCGCCATTTTGTTACTATTTTTAGAAAGTTAGAATTTTCCATTGAGGAGTATTTCGATTTTCCGCTAAAATTGATGACGTCATTTTCCCGCCAAAAATGTCAAAATTTAAAAAAGTAAAACGACAGAGTTGTGAGATTTGTTAGGCTCTTTAACGTTACCAAGTTTCAAGAAATCTTAATGAAATACAAAAAAGTTTTGCCTAAATGAAACATTTTTTAGCCCTTCTAGCCCGACGTGATAATCTACGATCGTCATCCTCAGGCATTTTACTTGCTGCGCCAACTCGTAAAACTAAAGCTACCCTTGGCGATAGGTCTTTCCATGTAGSAGCTCCTAAGTTGTGGAATAAGCTTCCGCGCGAGCTTCGTGATATCACTAATATTCATGCATTTTTGCGCAGTGTTAAGACACATCTTTTTATAGAAGCTTATGGTCATTGAATTTTAAATTGAATTTCAAATTTTATTAGCTTTATATATATACATATATATATATATATATATATATTGCATTTGAAATATATTGCATTTGAAATACTTAGATATTTTTAGAGCTATTTATTATTTATTAGCTTTTTTATAGTTTACTGTATATATTTTATTTGTTATATTTTTGTAATTATATTGTAATGCACGTTAGATCATTTATATGGATAGCGCGCAATTAAAGTTAATAAAATTATTATTATTATTATTATTATTATCCCTCCCCCACTAACGTCTGCTGAACAGAACAGGAAATGCAATTCCAATTGGTCGACCAATCATAGCATGGCTTTTAAATTTCGGTGACTATGATCCAGGCTCCACGCTACATTTCACACACCGTGAGTAAAATGGCGGATCTTGAATCAGCTTTTGAAGTTGTTTGCGAGAAATTTAAGATAGAATCATTAAATGATCACCAAGAAGAGGCCCTTCATGCGATTCAGATGTTGTTAAAGAAGTATAAGCGATAGGTTCAAACGATTGAATATAAACAATAGATAAAATATAATTATGGTGGAAAGTGGGGAACAGTGTGTCATGATTCCTGGGGTTGGGAGGATGCCAAGGTTGCGTGTAGACAACTTGGTTTTACCAAAGCTGCACGTTACTGGAACTGGGGACGTGGGGAGGGACCAATCTGGCTGGACGAGATGGCATGTACAGGCTCAGAGGCCTCACTTGGGGACTGTTCTCACCCTGGATGGGGAGTTGCTGACTCTGCTTGCAAAACTCATTTATATGAATCCGGTGCAACACGTTTCGCATAATACCTCAGGATTAGCCTCAAACGGAATGGGGTAATGTTGTCTCATGGAGCAAGGGTCACTGTAATGGAACTAGTTGTTGCTCTGGATATCAAACAAAAGTTCTTGTCATTGACAGTTTTGACTTTCGATGTCATCCATGGAGAGATGATAGAGCTTTTATAAAAGGCACATTTAAAACACAAAAGTCAAAATTCAAAAATAGGCGTGAACTCATTAAGTTACGAAACAAAAATATGAAATGACAAAATAATTAGATAACAAATAGGAATATATTATTTATAGTATAGATTGACATTTTGAAATAACCTTGTTAGTATAAACTAAAACAGTTATTTTGACCATTCTTGAGAGCTTTAGAATCAAATTCTTAAGAATTATTTCCAACTAATTCTCCTTTATTTTCGTTATGCTTAGTTTTGATTACATGCAATATACAACACAACTCTTAGTTATGCATATATTTGTAATTTGATTTGATTATCACCAAAGAGTAAAATGGCTGTTTTAATAGAAAACGCTATTAAAACTGCAACCAAATGTTACATGTCGAAAGAACAATTTTGGTTGGACGAGGAACCAGAACATTGAACGTAAACATCTCTAGTGTGACCGTTGCAATTTGAGCTGACAATTCCCCATCCAGCGTGAGGACAGTCCTGAAGTGAGGCCTCTGAGCCTGTACAACGCATGTCATCTAGCCACACTGGTCCTTCCCCAAGTTCACCGCCCCCGGAACCTACAGCTTTGGTGAGACCAAGTTGTCGACAAGCAACCTTGGCATTATCCGAACCCCAGAAATCCTCACACACTGTTCCCCACTGACCATTGTAGTAGACTTGTATAACATCCTTAATTAATATTAATTAATTAATTATCAAATTTATTTATTTTGTTACACCTTGAAGTGATGTCTTTTATTGCGAGGAGGACAATGTGGCATGTAGACTTGATTTTAGGAAAGCTATAGTTTACTGGCACCTTGGATGGATAACGTTATGTACAGGCTCAGAGGCCTCAATCCAGGATTGTCCTCATGCTGGATRGGGTAATGTTWGCTCATGGTGCAACGGTCACACTATTGATGCTGGTGTTCAGTGTTCTGGTTTGCGCGACCAGGTTCCAATGTTATGTCAGTAATATTTGGTTAATACTTTACTAATATTCGCTTTAATCACATAGGTAAAATCGAAGATCTTGTTTCGATTTGATCCCATCGTCAGATTTTTAAACTTTTCCACCTAAAGTGGACAAATTCTGCAAAACTAACCGTAAATCATTAAAGATCCTCTTTATTATTTTCCTGTCTACTGAAAGCGAATTTGCTGACAGCTACTATCATTAATTTGGTAGCATTTTCAAACCATTTTTGAGACAAAAAACAGCCATCACCTTGAATTTGTAGACAATCAAGGCTGGTCTGTTCATGTGCAGCTATTATAATCTGGCTAATTCATATTCCTATGGTTTTCTAGCTAAACAAAAGCGTAAATTACACTTCTTTGCACTGGTATTACAAATGTTTGRACTGTATTACAGTTGAAGTGCACTGCTTACAGCCAATTATCTTCGAGAAATGTTTCAAYGATGTGTCAWAATAGTAAAGGCTATTAAAACAGTAAYGAAAYATTTCATAACAATGAAACAATTTTGGTCGGACGAGGACCYARAWCATTGAACATAAGCATCTTCAGTGTGACCGTTGCAATTTGAGCTGACAACTCCCCATCCATTGTGAGGACAGTCCTGAAGTGATGCTTCTGAGCCTGTACAACGCATCTCGTCTAGCCACACTGGTCCTTCCCCACGTCCACTGTACCCGTAATATACAGCTTTGGTGAAACCAAGTTGTCGACAGGCAACCTTGGCATCATCCGAGCCCCAGGAATCATCACACACTGTTCCCCATTGA